AAGTCTCGTGCTGCCTCGGCTGTATTGACATGGTATTTTTGGTAGCTTAAACCTGGAGTAGATCTCTGATGTCAGTCGACTACGAGACCAAGCCAAGCTCTTGACACAGCAGTTCAATTATATTGGCCATTATGGAAATAACACATCCCTGGCACAGGTAGACTCTCGGACTTTAATGGAAGTGGGGAAGTCCGTATGAATCCATCTGACTGGGACCGTATGTTCTCTGTGACAAGCGAAAGCCAGTAAGCCATCCTTACCAATACAATAGGCTATCAATCAGACATCACACAATTATCCACGTGCCCCTACCCCTAGAGTTTACTATATTCAACTGCCACCGGCCCGTGCTAATGCCCGAAGCCTTGTTAACTTGGACTGTAGTGTGTTGGTGCACCTCATCGTCGAGATCTATCCAAGATTGGCGACCGAGTCGAAAGCCAAGAGTTTCGGATGAGGTTGCAGTCGACTTAAGCGCTAGAGAATTAACGGTAGTCCTGCTGTGCCGTTACTACATACCTGGCACAATGCGATTGTCCCTATGTTTGTCGCGAGTGCGTCACGTCGGTCGCACACTCAAGAATGTGAGTCTGAAAGGGCTGGACAAAATCCCGCTTACTCATATCTGTTCGTGAGCACAATAAGTTGACACTGCCCATCTTGTAAATGAGAATTTAATGCACTATAAGCAACGTTCACTGCCATCTTTGTAAGCTTGGCAACTGCATCAAGTTCCCCCACCGGGGTCTCGGCACTGGTCGCACTGCTCTCCTCACCGAAATCGGGGCAGTGACCCACGGGAAGAGTCATGTTAATTGCAGGTAATGACCTTAAACACCACAGAGAGGTCAAGATCGCAAATCGACTTCTCATGAGTGAGGCAGCAAAGAAATTGAGAGTTCAGGCCATCTCCAAACCCTCTGTACTTATGTGATGTGCAGTTCCGTACAAAAGCTTTTGGGAGCCAAGGAACTGCAGTGCAATTAATCGAGCATGGCTTGAACCAATCTCTCATGTACTAATTATATCCCTTCAACCTATTCGTAGCGACACCAAGGGCTTCGCATTCTGTCTGACAAAAAGTAGCTTGGAAGAGGTCCAAATTGATAGGGAAAGTGAATCCTCGACGAAGGCACACGGGTACCGTGGCCTGTTCTGGCACATTAGCATATATTGTACATAGATTGATCATCGAAACTTCGTAGCGAAGTGAGAAGAGCACATCGTCCTCTTTCCGATGAAGTTAGTGATCTTCTGAACCGCAAGTCCGACCGGACCAGTGTGAGGCAGACTGTTATTCAGGTTGTACTAGCTCGTATGCCAAGGATCACTGCATCCCGGTTCACAAACAGCCGCAAAGAGGGCTTGATGCCATTTTGCTGAACACCCCCGCATTCTTTATCTCGTGCCTAGGCGCTAGGCCTAGTCAGACCGCCGTCAAGTCAGCACTAAAGCTCCTGCTCCTTCTTGATCAGCGGTGTCGCGACCATGGCTGCCTACCAGCCGTGACTGTATGCGGGTTCTGAAAATCCCACGATAGGCTTTCAGTATGGAAGCATACTTTACCCCAGCCTCCCGGTTGTGTACCGAAGGTGCCGTTTCCCCACCTTATAAGAAGAAAAGCGTTGTCCCTTCACCACTGACCATCTTGGGCCGCGATAAGCTACCTACAAATAGCGGTAAAATATTGCGCACTCGTCATGGACCGCGCTAAGCTCATCGACACGCTTGCATCGGCGCAAGCGTCGCCGCAGAGGCCAATATTGACTCTCGTGAACGGCGACAACACATGGCTCGTTTCCGTCCCCCGGCCCGCCGGGATGAAGGGCAAGGCTTTCTGCCACATTCTCGTGGACCCTTGGCTCGAAGGATACATTGATGTCGCTTCCGGCTGGGTCATACGCCTGCAACTCAAGGAGAAACCGGCGCTCGGCAACATTGAGGCCATCGAAGACTGGATTCAGGAGATGGAAACAGCTTGCGGGACCACGAACGGAGAGCACGGGCAGAGGCTCGATGCAGTTTTTGTCACGCACACCAATCCTGACCACCTGCACGAGGCGACGCTGCGGACCCTCAGCCAATCGGTGCGAATCCTCGCTGTTGAGGACGCAGCGGCGACGATATTGGCAATGGACTATTTCGAGAATATCACGGTTGTGCCGGATTTTGTCCGCGGCGAGGAGTGGCCGGCCACGCCCGGTATGCCCGAGTCGTTATCGATCTTCCGGCTCCAGAGCGAGGGCGACAAGATAAAACTGTGCCATGCCGTGATCATCAGCATTCCAACCAAAGACGGGAAGAGTGAAGCGATCCTGTACACCCCGCACGGTGTTGATCCTGAGGCGGTGGAAGCCGCAAGGAAAGTGAACCCGGGTGCCAGTTTTTTGGCGATGTTGCATCCGCTCAACAAGGCCGGCGCCATCTTCACCACGAGAGGGGTTGCGGAGGGCTTGAGGATCGAACGAGAGAATTCCTTTCGGCACTGGGTGAACACGCATGACGACCATATTGATTACGGGGGGGTTTTATCTTATATTATGCAATACGGGCGTACGACGTTAGAGCAGGGCCTCGAGCAAGAAGCCAGGGAAAAGGGTGAGAGAGGAAGGAAGCCCAACTACGTAGTGGTTGCAAATGGCGGATGTCACATCTTGACTTGAGAAGATATTGTTACGTGGTTTGAATCTCCCTGGTTGCTGTTACGTATCAACGATAAGGAGTGTGTTGTCAATGAGCGTGCACATATTCCATGACGACAGCCTGAGTTTTGCTTCTTGACATTCTTAATGATTTGGAGGTTAGTCTAGCGGAAGCCAATTGATGCAAATCGAATGACAAAAAGTAAAAGGTAAGTGACAGTGCAAAAGAATCTCCTCGACGGGGAATTGAACCCCGGTCCCCTGCGAATCGTGTGATTGACAAGCAGATATCCTCACCACTAGACTATCGAGGATGTTGTTGTGGTCGGCGAGGAGCTACTCTTCCTAAGTAGGTCGCCAACTATTCCATCCACCCAGGAGCCGCTTATTCTAAAGCTAGAAATCTTCGCCGAATAGGTAACGTTATACAGAAATGCCAGAGGCTGTGGCTCTAAAAGGAGTTTGATATTTTCTTACTAAATAATAATCATTTTCAAGAATAGCAACTGAGAATACTGGCGACTCGGCCTGATAATATTATTTACAGTGTCAGTTCAAAATCCAGATTCACTTTCTACTTATTGTTGTTGAGGACAGAGACCCTCTAGCTGGCATTCTTGCGCTTGTGAATTGGTAAAATCTATTGAAATGTTCTCTGTTGGCTTTTTAAAGTGAATTTGAGCTTGGGCAATGCTGTTCTACAGATGCTTGTCGGCCGAGATGACCAGTGTGAGATCGTCATATGCTGATATCAACTACATCTCTCTAGATGTCGAGATTCCTGATTGTTTCATCTGGTGCCACAAGGACCTTATGGAATGACCTAATGATCAAAATCCGTGGTGCTACAGAGAGCACTGGGTGCTGTTTCCGCAACCCCCCCCCACCCCCCAGTGGCCAGATCACTTACTATAAGTCTATGCCTGGTCAAATTCAATTGACGACCGCAGAAGACGTCATCGACAGGTATTTCATTTGATGTCATTGCCTAGAAATCCATCACTTGAGATAGTATTCATGCAAGGGTTGCCCTTTCAGCATATGAATAATGATGCAAGGAGTGAGAGCAGGTTTAGGTAGAGTATCGATGATCGCCAATATGTTACAGAGAATACGAAGTCTGAGGGAGACCTGCAATTATTGATTATAGTTGAAATGCTTTGAGTTTCCGCTCAAGAGTGTAACGTTAGGCCAAATACAGTTGTGGCCGTCACAGAGAGAATTATACCGCAGGGGAATTGTAATTCTTTCACTTTCATGGCCTGTCGCTACTGAACTTACTAGGCGGAAATGTTTACGTTTAGGAAGGAAGGCATGGCGAGTTTGAAATCGTGTAAACCGGTCACTGGCAGCTAACGGTACTCTAAATAACCCGTTCCTAATACTTAAATCAAGTAACCACAGCCAACTCGAGCAAGCAGCTCTAATTCCCAGCCTAAATATTCAGCTAGGAACTACCCGCGGTGACAGTTGAATCACTTGCCAAAACGCATTAGTCTTGCTTATGACCATCGGCCTCGCCTTGTTCTTGCGTTGTACGGCAGCAACACAAACTTGGGCTCGCTTTATCAACGCCAGTAAAAGACTTGCGGTGTTCTTCTCCGTAGTCAGTATACCTATTGCTGTTGCAGGGATAAACGACCTAATCTAGCACGAATCCTTCACTACCGAGACGTCAGGCGAGGGCCTCATTACACTCATCGCGTTGAAAAACAATGTCAGTATCACAGGGCTACCCGTACGGATGAGCGAACAGCAGTTAGGTTGAGGTATCGTACTTGTTCTTCAAGAGAACAAAAAATGAAGTTATTGCCGTAGCGCCGTGTATATGGGCACAGTCAGCCGAGGCTGGTCTCCGTATCATTATCCGTGGAAGCCCAATATCCCGACAATCATGCTTCAGCCAGAGATCACCAGAACAATAACCTTCAACATAATCGTTGATGCGTTGTATTTAAGAACAACTGACCGAGCTCGGTCCCTAAGCTGGCTGCTTGCTTCAGCTGCAGCATGATAGTTAATTGGTTTGGTTACTATGTAGGGCTGGTTTGTATGGAGGCCCCATAATTGTACTATGTAACCCTAACATAGCCCCCGCCAATTCTTTCCCCTATCTGCTAATGAATTAGGCCATAGTGGGGTTGGTCTAAACGAGACGCTGGTTCGCGTGAAAACTCTTGTCACAGTCTTTAGCACCACACTGCGTGTCATGCTAGCTTTACCCATTCTTGCCAGCAGAACGGATTGTGAAAGAGGGGCAAGATTCTATGCTAACGGCGGGGCCGACAGGCGAGGAAATTGGCGCGAGAGAGAGCTTGAAACCATATGTGTTGAAGCAGACAGTTTATAACAACAAGCAGTCTGGTGGTGTAGTTGGTTATCACGTCAGTCCAACAGCGTGAGGGCATCTCACGATGCCCTCACTCCTGCTCACTGAAACGTGTGATTGCGTCCAAGGTCTCCGGTTCAAGTCCGGGCTGGATCACAGCGTATGGGCGATTGGTTTAGTGGTATAATGACCGCTTAGCATGCGGTAGGTCCAGGGTTCGATTCCCTGATCGTCCATCTTTTTGTCTTTTTGTTAGTAACATTCAACCGTGATGGCTGGGCAGGGCATCTTCCGCAAGAACCAGCAGGTTCTTGGCATCGTCAATGCTATGATCAAGATTCTCAATGCTCTGTCTATCGCTGAGACCCTCACCCAAGATGATTGCGAGGTCCCGTTCATCTATCGCATGAAAAACATCACTTACTAAAGTGAATGGGCCAAATCCACGTTTTAGCGGGTGGACAGGGAGAATGCGCAGAACTCAGCGCAGTATCAACAACAAAATGCACCATCTACCCCCCAGCAGCAGAATACATTATCTCAGCCAGTCGCAAGCGCTCTTTTTAATGCCAATCTACAGATACAGCCATTAAATATTACAGAGTTATCTGAAAACCTAATATCACGTTCTTCTGACCCTATCTTGAACTACGTTTGTGAAGTCGTAATACCCTTTGGCCGCGCGCTTGAAAACATATTTGCATTATGGTTAAGAATGTTGCCGAATTGTTCATCGGGTATAACACCATTAGCGCCGATGGTTTAGTGGTAAAATTCTCCGTTGCCATCAAGCAGCGTCGGGGAGCCGGGGGTTCGATTCCCCCTCGGCGCAATCTTTTGCCTGTGTGTATTTGCTCTATACGCCGCCTCTCGAGACATGTCAACTATGCGTGTCAAGAGTATATTTTATTCCATTTTGTCCTTTGGACGACGTCCTGTGCAATCCTACTTAAGTCCTGTTTATAGCTTTACTACTAGACAAAAACTATACAAGCTATTCTCTACATAGTAATATAAAAGCAGGTATTTGTTTACTTGTTTACAGCCCATGTTAGCAGTTTGCCTTTCGCTTTAGGGGTGTATGTAGCTGAAAAGTGCCGTGCTGTTTCTGCGAATTTCGTCCATGACTTAGGAAACGGATGCCCGATTTACACCACTGTTCTTCAGTTTTCGCTCTTCAGCGTCCAATGAATACATCTTGCACAGGAATCGCAACATTACTTTGCTGCCCCTATTGCCTGATTACAGTCTCAAAAGCTCATTGGACTTATAGTATCAATGTTTGGCAACGGCTTCAGCATTCGGTTAGTTCGTCTTATCATTCACGGCCCATGTCATGACGCTATGACGATCCCATCACGCCCACTGTCACCTGCCGCATTAGGTGCTCTGGCCCACCGGAACTGCATCCCTCCCTGTGCTGGAATGTCCCAGAGCGGCTGTCCCCCGCGCCACCTTATAAACCGCGTTTGTCCCACTTCCCGTCCGCTGCTTTCCACGTGGTACAGTTCGGTATCGTGACATCGCCTTCTTATAATTTGCACTGAGCAGCAATGGCTTCCACAAGCACCTGGCGGTCAGGTGGGCGGGGGTGGATGACCGCCTTTGCGGTCGGAACCCTGGTGACCTCTGTGTATGCCGGGCAGCTTCAAGCCCAGCATGCCGCGCAGTACCGGAATCTCGACGTGCGGAGCTCCGGCAAGGAGCATCTCTTGGCGCACACGGGACGGCTCGCATACGATATGGAGACTGCGGCCAGTGCTTCTTCGTCGCGAATGCCGCTTCTGGAGACGTTCCAGGTGGCTGAGCCTGTGCTCCTCCCGTCCGGCTCAGCTGCCAAGGAGGCGGTCACTGTGACTTTGATGGAACACCAGTTCGCCAACAGCTATGGAACCCCGTTCGTCGGGAGTTACACGCCACCGGACTTGGAGTTCGACCACGTCGTGATCAACTTCACCGTAGAGGTCAAGGGCAGACAGTTTGACCGCTGGGGCAGCGTGTTCCTGGGCGACGTCAACATCTTCGCCACCTCCACCGCGGAGCCCACGGCCAACGGCATCACTTGGACCTGGCTAAAGGACTCGACGCCCTACCTGTCGCTCTGGAAGCAGCCGCAGACCCTCATCTTCCAGCTCGACAACGTCATCACGGACGTCTACACAGGGCTCCTAAACTCCACGCTCACGGCAACCTTCTTCAACAGCCCCGTCCAGAGCGGGGGTCAGGCGCCCGCGGATCTCATCCTCCCTGTCTCCGCGCAGAAGAGCCCCGTGACCGGCAGCTTCTGGACTTACCCCGAGGAGAACGCCTCCGCCTCCCTCCGGTTCCCCCGCAACGTGAACCGGGCCGTCTTCTCCTCGTCCGTCAAGGGCCAGGGCAGCGAGGAGTTCTGGTGGAGCAACGTGCCGCAGTCCGCCGTTGACGCCTTTGAGCCGGACGTCGGCGCCTACCCGGGATACTCCCCGTTCCGGGAGGTTCAGGTCCTGATCGACGAGCAGCTTGCCGGCGTGCACTGGCCGTTCCCTGTAATCTTCACTGGCGGCGTCGTTCCGCAGCTGCACAGGCCGATCGTGGGCATCGATGCGTTCGACCTGCGCGACCACGAGATCGACATCAGCCCATGGCTGCCGCTCCTGTGCGACGGCAATAGCCACACCATCGGCATACGGGTGGTCGGACTCGTCGACGATGGAAAGGCGAGCGCGAGCCTGTCGAACACGACTGAAAGCAGCTGGTACCTCGTTGGCAAGGTGTTTCTGTGGCTCGACGATGAAGATAGCGTGACGACAGGCGTCATCGGGCCCACGGCAAACCAAAACCCGACCATCGATTTCTCCCAGACCCTCAAGCAGAACGCGACGGGTTTTAACACGACGCTGGAGTACACCATCGCGGTGAAGAGGGACTTTTCCATCACGTCGCAAGTGAGCACCCAAAAGGGCAACGGCACGGCAACGTGGAGCCAGAGCCTGTCGTACTCGAACGTGGGCGGCCTGTACGCCAACGGCTACGGCGGCATCAACACATTCTCGACGACCGGCAGAGAAGCGTCTGACAGCCCTGGGTGGGATTACGAGACGACCTTCTCGTACCCCTTGTACTGCAACACCACGACCTTGTACCTGCCCGAGGGCAACCTGACGCTCTGGGCGCAGCTCGACCAGGGGCTGAAGCTGCACGTTAAAGGAAACACCGTCTACCCGACGGGTCTTGAGGCCTTCCAGAGGGATGGGGCGGAGTGGGCCGCCAGCGTGATCGACACTGACAGGAACGGCACAGCGAACTATTCCCGGTACGCAGACAACACGGTCACATCGGGGATCGGGCGGACGCATCAGGTGTTCACGCTCAGCGGGCTGGATGGGGAGGGCACCTACGACACGCCGGGAGACGTATTGTATTTCCGGGATGTGACCGCATACAACAACAGCGTTGTGGCGCTGAATGAGGTTGTCACGGGCAGGGTCATGTGAGAAGTCCGCTGGGGAAACCGCTTCTGTCAGGGAGAATCCCGGTTTAAGAGTACAATCTTGATATATTAATAAGTGCTAAGTTGATTCAAATAACATCATGGGAAACTGAACTGATCCGAAGTATATGCCGACGCCGTCAAAATAAAGACATTGCTACGGATGCTGGCCTCCCCCGGGAAACTTGGCTGTAGCTTAAAGCAGCAAGGTTGCTCGATATATTAAATGCGTGCGACTTCCAAGAGTTCCCGTTGATTGGTGTAAGTGGTGGGTGCTACATCATATTGACCATTCCGGCCCCGAGGGGCGCATTGGCAAGCTACTTCCCCAATGGAAAGGGAAAGAGTTACTCGCTGCGCTTCTCGAGGCCGGGCCCGCTCAATTCGAAACCAGAGATTTCGCCCTTACGACTCGCTTTTACCATACCCGTTCCAGGCACCCACATACATATCAAGACCAAGATGAAGTATGCCTGTGTATTGATACACTGTACCCTTTGCCGTCTCGAACTCCAACAGAGTCAACGTAGCGTTCATCAAAGAAAAAACTGAAACGATCATAGTATTAGGAACTTATGACTGCCACACTTGCTCTTGCGACGTGGCGCCATCATGCTTTGCCTCAACCGGCAGCAAAGTTGGATCCAATGTGATATTGCTACGCCTTTTAGTTTGCCGTGGTCAGTTTGGTACTTGTGATGTTGCCACGTGCAACTCTTACCTGGCTCAAGTGCACGTCCATACAGCAGAACTTCAGCAGGCAGATGGACGGTACCTGTTGGTACGAATCAATTGCGCTCAACTACGGGATCTTCAACGCCGAATGGTCTGCTGCCATGGGCTTCTTGCTGGCTCTAGTTCCTTGAAATATGATACAGGCAGTGCGTATGCACAAGTACGAGGAGCTTGGAATTCGTGTGGCTATAAGTCTGGGATAGCTGTAAGTCAATTTTCGGATTCGACAAGAACAACAATGTGAATTCGAACGCTGCTGTACAAATTGCTTATCACATCAGCGTATACGGCTTGGTAGTTGCAACAGACACACCTAAGCCGCAACATGACAACGCAAAAGAAGCAAAGGTGGACGAAGCTCAGAGGAAGGGAGCTTGAGCCACTATATGATGGAATTACGAGAGCAAAGTGCTTCAATATCGAAAGCCAAAACAGCAGTCAGAAAAGACGAAATCACAGAAAAGGAAGACTCATAAGCTCAGGATATTCAAGCATTTGGTATTTCCATTGAAGATAAGGATGAAGGCAGGGGCAAGTATGGTCACTGTAGGTGAGAATAATTCAAAGCTCCGCTAACTGATGGTGAATCACAGAGACGTTTCATGTACCAGGCCACATCAAACAGGGTCAGGAAAAGGTGAAGTGGGGATAATTGAAGATTCGTAAACTTCACTGTAGGCCGAAGCTTGATGGGAGAAACGACTGTACAAAGTCGCAGGGTACTGATAGCTTTTTATTGAATGCCTGCGGCGATAATATTTACATGCATACTCCAGGTCCTAAGCTGATAGCCAGTTTCTAATGAAAGGCTTCTAGACCGACATGCCGGGGTTAGCGGCAAGTTCTTGCGTGATGACTTCCTCGTTGGGATTTTCCTTTCCGAGCAACCAAGCTAAGCCGTTAAAAGTATCAAAATGAGACTTAGTGGACAGCTTGCAAGGAAAAATTGTGT